AACAAAATCGACTGTCATGCGCTACATGAAAAATTTGTCTTCTTATTCGACTTAATCCCGAAAATTTTTTCCAATACAGGAGGGGAATACCAACCGGAGGTAGACAAGTCGAAAATGAACAGCCTGACGTAGCTGCACCTGGTCTCTGGGAGTATCCCAGCAATACGTTAATACATACGGTAGCCACTCGAATTGTCTAGACAGTCGTTTTCTTAGAAACAAAAATATCGGCATAAAAAATGCAACAAAGGCAGCAGTAAAACCGGTTTTAGTATTTGAGGCAAATCCAGCAACATTTTTGGGGATGGAAAAAGGATGCAGAATTTCAGAACTTTATACAACTAAAAGATGGGCAAATGCGCTTCCCCCCTTATATGAGCTGCGCCAGCTCAAGAATACATGTCAAAAAGGACGGTGAAATGCAAAAATCCTCCGAACTGTATGTAAAGGATCACTGGTCGCTATAAGTCTTACGTTAAAAATCGTGATAAGGGCTACCCATATCGTCAAAAATCAAAGTTTTCCCCAAATTTGCTCCCTAAAAAGGCGGAAGCACTTGACAGCTTCCTCCCCCTAAATGAGCTGCGCCAGCTCAAAAATACATGTCAAAAAGAACGGTGAAATGCATAAATCCTTCGAACTGTATGTAAAGCATCACTGGTCACTATAAGTCTTATCTTAAAAATCGTGATAAGGGCTACCCATACCGTCAAAAGTCAAAATTCTCCCCAAATTTGCTCTCTAAAAAAGGTGGAAGCACTTGACAGCAGCACGAGTGCCAGCAGCAACGACCCTCTTAGAAAGCTATCGATGACTCTCTCCTTCACGGTTTGCTCAGAAGTAAGCAAACAGTAGTTTTGAAGAACATAAAAACCTTGTAACTCGCATGTTAATCACGATGGTGAACGCTGTCAAAATGCCCCTTCCCGACTTATTGATCAAAATAATTTTTGGGAGATGCACTCCGCGCACTTACAACTTAAATGATTTTCATTCACCTTCCAGGTATGCGTAGTTCCCAATCACAGCCCCGTGAAGTTTTTTGGCAGGACGAGGACTATCGAAACTCTATTAAAAAAGGCTGCGGCAATGGTAAAAGAAAAACACTGGATTTTTCAAAAAAAAAAAACACTTCGTATGAAAAAAACTCCATTATATTACGAAATTTAACCTGTTCCCGAGTAAGTGAATTTTCCTGTCAAAAAACCTCAATGGGCTGTGGTTGGGAACTACGCATACTTGGAAGGTGAATTAAAATCCTTCAAGCTGTAAGTGCGCGGGGGCATCCCCTGAAAATCCCAGTCTCCCAGCTTCCCTGGTTTCCGACTTAGCGGATTTTCCCGCCAAAACTTTCACGGGGTCGCATGTGAGAACCACGCACACCTGGAAGCTGAATTAAAATCCTTTAAACTGTAAGTACGCGGGGAACATCCCCCTCAAAATTTAGCCTCCCCAGCTTCCCTGGTTTCAGAGTCAGCCATTTTTCCGCCGAAAGTTCCATGTTGTCGTACGCGGGATCCAGACGTGCGTAAGGATCGGTACCGCGGTCCTGGAGTGGCACTTGGCCAAAGAACCCGCTGGCAGAAGTTTGGCTCCGGAGGTTGTACTCGGGCAGACGCACATACACACACACATACATACATACATACACACAAATATACTCACACACACGCACAAACATACACACACCAGGGGTCACTGCAATATATGTTTTTGCTCGCTGTAGTAGCGCTACAGCGCTCCACAGCAAAACTGCATTAAAAAATGGGAAATTACAGATACATTCTGCTTACATGAGCAAGCCAAATGCACATAAAGCATATAAAAGGATGGCTGAGAGGGAACAGTAATGAGGTAACAAGTGAAAAGAAGATCGACCCGAGAAATGAACAAAATGCGGGAACCGCAAAAACAATAACAAGAAGAGCAAGGACCGCCAGGGCTACAACGCGAAAAACTGGCGTTCTACAGCAGCAGCCATATCGTCATCTTCGTCGCTTGATTTCGATTCTGCACTGTTCGACGGCGATGGCGACGAGGACGACGGGGATGACTTATCCCCTTCATTTTCACCCTCCAACAATCGCTTCTTGCTCTGCGCCTCATCACATTCTTCGTATTTTCGCTTAACACCTCCTTCTGCGACAGCCGATGAGGAGCTCCCGGAACCGTCTTTGTCTTCACTGCTTTCCCCATTTCCCTCGCCTTCTTCCGATAATGCTTCATCAACCTAAAACTACCAAACTGACTGTTAATTAGAATGAGTTAATAACCTAATTCCCATAGATCTCTCAGGTAATGAAATAAAATTTTATTTGGCTTCATTGTTAGAGGAAAAGCAAGGTATAAAATGAAATAAAATAAAAAATAAAATTCTTTTAAAATCGATCAAAAAAATAATTCTTTTGAAATAATTTTTTTTAATTTACAAATTTTGTAATTCTCATCTTTCACCTTTCTTTTTGATTCTTCTTATTTCATCCACTGTTAAAATATCTTTCTAATAAAATAAAAAAGCTGAGATTAAATAATAAATTACGGCGCAAATAAGGCTAGCTGACAAGGCTTTGTGTTCTGTTCAGTTCCGCCCCACAGACATGCGCTGTTAAAAGTGTTCACTGCTTTACTGCTTGATATGCACAGAAATCGTCGGAATGTTCTGATCGGCCAAAACTTTAATTTGCCCATATGTGAGGCCTAGGCATACATGGAAACTCAGTCTAAAATTTTCGGAGTCGTACATGGGCAGGAAACATTCTTTTGAAATCCCAAATTTCGCCTTGGCTTATCCTGGGGTTGGAAAACTTCTGACTCCTGAGCATCTACGTGCTCGTAAACGTGACTTAAACGCGAATAAATGCTGAAACCGAGATTTCCGAGGAGTGCACTTAGCACGCAACGTCCCCTACACATTCCTAACTTCCCTGTTTAGCAAATTTTACCAAAAAGGTTGGCAAATATTTTGGAAAAAAATTTTGACGTAATCGTGCATAAAAGTTAGGAGCACAACGAAACTGAATTTGAAATATTAAGATTAGACATGGAGGTAACACATCATTTTAAAATTCCATCCTCCTAATTTTTCTTGTTCCCGAGTTAGCCATTTACAAGACAAAATTTTTTACTTGTCCGTAGGTGAGACCTAGACGTACATGGAAGCTGGTTTTAAATTTACAAGATCGTACGCGGGCACGGAATATTCTTGAAAAATTTCAGCTGCCTAGCTTTTCTGGTTCTTCAGTTGAAAACCCGGGAAAAAAGCCCTTGCTAGGGAAGTGACAATATGCGTTTTGTGCAACTGTTACACAACAAAGCAGGACGAATTTGAACCTCGCCAGTCATCAACGAAACAACGCCCTTGCTTAGCGTTGGCGACTGCGCGAACTGATCAGCAATGATACTGCCTCCCAACGGCTTCGCGGTGCTTAACATCGTTTCCCTCGATAAACCAAAATCCTTTTCATCAACCTGAAATACAATTAAACAATACTTACAAATCTAGTTTACACGCTGCTTGTATAAACGTGAAATACGCGGACACCAATAACATCAAATCACTAAGTACTGGAAAATTTGGAATGCTACTAAACTGCTAATGAAAATAATGAAATCAAGCAGTTTTAAAAGGTTGAAGCAAGACGAGGTAAGACGTTTCTTACGGCCACATGTGTAATTTGGTCGTAGTGTAGACCAACAAAGGAAAATAGTCGAATTTTGATATGTGGTCAAACTCCAAAAAAATGGCATTTAGGTATCTCAGGTATGCAAACCGGTATTTAGAGTAGGCGACGTCTGTGTTTCATCCCTGAACTGCAGACATAGACGGCTGGGTCGGTGCGAAATGGGGCCATCGCTTCCCGCCACACTATCGCACTAAAGTCCTCTTAACGATTCTAATAACCTTGGCAGTTACGATAACTTCAATGCAATTAAGCAAACAACTGATTTAGTGAATCCAGAATTTTGAGAAGGACAATGTATTGAAAGCTAAGGTAGAAAATGAGGAGGATGAAAAAGAAGAGAAGGAGAACGAAGTGAAAAAAGGGGGAAGGGGAATATTGAAAAATTTTTAATTGGTAAGAAATTTCCCGGTCCATTAAATCGTATACATTTCTTACCGTTACCACACAACTGGACCTTGTCACTATGATGACTGTGGTAATAAAGGTAATTTTGATGAAGGTTTAGTGTATGTAATGTAATGTAATGTAATATAATGTAATGTAATGTAATGTAATGCAGTGTATGACGTGTACGAGTACGCAAAGTAATACACGTCTAGCGCAAATGAAGTAGAGGTATATTAAGTGGTAGAAGGCAACCCCAGCCTGTTTATGTTCATTTTTAGCCGGACATGGTTTTTTTTTTGTTTCAAAGATCCGCTCTTTCTGAATAGGCAACTTCCAAGAAACTGTAAAAAATCCTCTCAAACGCTAACATAACAACGATATGAAAGTGGCAACCCGGGATGTTTTCGTGGTAATTTAAAATAAAACAAATAAAAATTACTTTCTCCCATCGTTCCACACAGGCAAATAGCCATTTTGGATTAACAACGGCAAC